CCCTGGCTGTGCTTTGAGTATCTCGGCGGGCACTGAGAGCAGCTCTAACCATGTCCAAAAGCAAAAGAACATGTTTTAATTTCTACAGTGTATGKCGTTACAGGGGAATGACCCATCACACAGAAAGATTTTGAACATTAATTACAGTATCTTTTGGAATTTTATCATTTAATTGCCATCCCTTTTCCCTTGAAATTAATCATGGATGCGTATCATCAAACAAGGTTTTGTTTTTTTAAAAAGTACATMTTAATATAAACAGTTTATTCAGTGCATGGTTGTGTATACAACAAATAATAAACAAATTTTTTTGTAGCAGGCAGAAAGCTGCCTGCACAGAACTAATTCAGTTTTGGAGCACAGAATCCAACGATGATTAATGCACAAAATCTTACACATCATGCAACTCTATGCCAGAATTCCAACTTTCTCCCATGCAACAGACATGATGATCTAAATGGAATCCTAACTACATTTTTAAACAATTGTTTCCAATAGCATGTATAATATATGTTGTTTAGGGGTAACCTGTCCTAACGCTTCCTCCTACACAATATTCACGTGCCCGTTACAGTGAAAGGACTTTTACAAATAAGACGTTTCTTATAAAAAAATTAAGTCACCTTAATTCCACAGTTTCTGTCTTTAGAAAAGAAGCCACGACAATAGTTTAACATGACACACAAAATGGAATTAAGAGAAATCTACACTGGAGGATAAYTTTATCCCTTTCTGTTAATTTCCATTGGGATAACAAAACAACTCAGTTCCTACAGACTGGGGTTAGCACAAGAACTTTACCAGAAACTACAAATCTATAAAAATTTATATTTCGTTGTGTTTAAAACCACAAGAACACTGTTTGCTTGAGCCTGAGACACCAACTCTCAGTTCCAACCCTGAATTTTAAATTTTTTTTAAAGACATAGCTTTAAAGACCCATTGGAGTTCAGAAATCAAAAAGTTGCACTATTCCAAATCAAAGGATACATTTTTTTTTATCAAGCCTTAGATATAAAACGGTAAGCCAAGGAAACAACAGAGTTTATATATTGTTTTTCGTTTGCCCCTATAAAACATACAAGCATTAAAATTTCCTTTGAAGAGCAAAAGTGGTCTTTTTCTGAGTTGGAAAGCAAATTCTTATCAGCAGTGAATGCTGTGAAATGTTTTTGTTTCATTTTCCACAAAGCATAGGAGGGAGAGAGAGAAAAGAGAGAAAGAAAAAATGAGAGAGAGCAAGAGTTGGACATTTCTTCAGTGGGGTTTATTCCGCAGCTGGGTTTGCTGGCTGTCCAGCTGGTTTGTGATATGCACAAGCATATTCTACATTAGGGGCTGTATCCTTTGCCAAGCCGTGGATCTAATGGCTGAGAAACGAGAGAGCTATGCGAGTTCGGAGGCTGCTCCTGGCATTGGAGGTGTGGATGAGACTCGAGTGAGGATTGAATGCATCCCGAGGTAAGGGTCTGTCAGAGAGCACTTGGCTGCCTGAACCTGGCTACGTCGACTCGTTCTGGCTCATGGATTTACCCCCGTTTAGCACTCCTGAAACGCTTCTGCTCTTTGTTGGGGTCCCACTGCCAGACCTGGAGAACTCTGTGAGGTCGTGGAGAGAAGGCTCTTTGTACATGGCCACTGCAAAGAAGAGAGAGGCACAGATGAGTCCAGATCAGAACCCTGGGATTTTCACAGCAACACCCAATGAATGGAGACAATCAAAGAACCTGAGATCTCTTCCACTTCCAGCAGTCCCTGGAAGCTCCCAGATCCTCTTCATGAGATGAATTTTACAGGAGGGGAAAACCACGGCTCCTCCCTCCCTCTCCCAGTTAAACCTGGCACCCACTGCACTTACAAAACCTTGCAGGACTGACCTAAATGAGCAAAAATCAGCATTTCCTTCTGACAGAGACACAGCACATCCACAGCTGGGATTAAACCTGAGCTCTGCTTAGCCCAACAGCGTGTTACAGAGCATTTCATCATGTTACAGACAGCTGGACAAGGGTGTATTGCACAGGAATTAAACACCTCTGACATGTGACAGCATCGGTTCAGATAAACACAGCAAACCCACGCAATTACCTTTTAAGGGTTTTGGAAGAAAGTGTGCTGCAGGTTTGTTTTTCTTCACGTGGTTTCCTTTCATTATTTCTCCTTCTTTGTTAAGACCCAAATACCAGCCCCGGCCAGACTGTTGCTGTCTGTAGATCATTGAGGAATATGTCACATAGTAGTTTTCAAATACTGATTCTTTGAACTTGCATTCAGGTGTAAAATGTTCCTGTAAGAAAGCAGCAGATCAATACATGAGGGAATCTCACATCAGTTACTGAACAAGCATCCAATAGCCATTGCTTTCCAAACAGTTAAAAGTAATTTCTCTCATCCTCAGCTAYCCAATTATGAAACATGGGTCCTGAWAGTACTTTTGTGYTACAAAAGAGTAACACAGTTTGAAACCTGTGAAATGATGCTGTGAGCAGCGCTAAGCAGAATGTAATCAGATCTTTTTGAACGCTGAGTAAAAAGTGTAAGTGAAGATTTATTGATTGGTGCAGCTAATGGATGTGAGGCAGACAGATCCCATGGGATCAGCTGTGCTCCAGCCCTACAGACAGAGCTGAGACCACGGAATGCATTAATTGCTGCCTTAACTGGTTACGAGCAAAGTGCAATAAAACCCAAGCAGKAAACGGTTGTCTCTTGCTAAGCCATCAATATTTGAGCTGTAGCAGCTCCTGTCTGGTGTAATCTGTGCTCCTCCTGTGCCTGAAGCATCACCCATGGGAGCCCCTCTGTCTCTGT